ACGCATTCCACCTAGATTTTGCTCCGTTAATGCCTAACATAAAAAGTTGGTAAGTGAAAAAACTTCTTAGCAGCCTGTCTCAGTAAGCTATCAATACACAGGATGGAGCTAACGTTGCAATGGCAGCTGATGTATATGCAGCTATGCTGATGACAGATCACTCCCAATAGATTTTTATAGAATCATAGAATGGTTTAGGTTTAGGTTTAAAGATCACCTAGTTCCAACCCCCCTGCCATGGGCAGGGACACCTTCCACTAGCCCAGGCTGCTCAAAGCCCCATCCAACCTGGCCTTGAACGCTTCCAGGGAGGGGGCATCCACAGCTTCTGTGGGCAACCTGTTCCAGTGCCTCACCACCCTCACAGTAAAGAATTTCTTCCTAATATCTAATCTAAATCTACCCTCTTTCAGTTTAAAACCGTTATCCCTTGTCCTATCACTACACTCCCCGATAAAGAGTCCCTCCCCATCGCTCCTGTAGGTCCCCTTTAAGTACTGCAAGGCCGCTATAAGGTCTCCCCGGAGCCTTCTCTTCTCCAGGCTGAACAACCCCAACTCTCAGCCTGTCCTCATACGGGAGGTGCTCCAGCCCCCTGATCATCTTTGTGGCCCTCCTCTGGACCCACTCTAACAAATCCATGTCTTTCTTATGCTGGGGGCCCCAGAGCTAACACAGTACACCTGGTGGGGTCTCATGAGAGCAGAGTAGTGGGGGAGAATCACCTCCCTCGACCTGCTGGCCACAATTTTATTTATTTATTTGTTGCTAGAGCTTCATTTCCTCTGAGCAATAAACTCCTCCTCTCTTAAGGAAAAAAATCTGCTTTAATTCTTTAGGATCAAGATCAGAAAACAGCTTTTTTTAATGCTACTGGAGAGATTTGCTATGACTAGTATAACTGGAATTTAAAACGTGTTTCAAGATTCACAGGAGCTCCATGTATGCATGGATTATGTAAGAAGCCCAAAATAAAGAATCTCCGATATTCTAACTACATATTCAACAGATAATAACTATCACTGAAAAACCAAACCAAACAACCAACCGCCCCAGTCCACACCAATATCCATCAATCATTTAACTCTGATCCAACATATATCTGCATTAAAGCAATTCTAAAACAGCTTCAAGACCTGTAAGGACTTTTTGAGTAAAATTTACTATTTATAGGGTGGTTTTTTTCATAGCCATTGTTGGTAAGATGGGTGAAGCAATGTTACTTACACACACATACTGATGTGCAAGTCTCCAATGAGTAAGTTAATGTCTCCTTCTCCTTTGGCATTATACAATCCACTTTCTAATTTAGAGAAATGAAAGGACAAACTATTTATGGAATAACCATTTTCTTCTTATTGTTTTGTACTACCTGTCTACAACTGCAGAGCTTGGGATACATGCAAATATAAAATACATGGAAAAAGAAGAATGAAGAAACAGGCCTGGTTTTGACACTGGATTCAAGTCAGGTTATAAAATAACTTGGGGGACCTCTGCCTAGCAACTTGACAGTACCATCATTTGGCGAAGCACTATAATAGTTGTCCTCATAATATCCTTAAACTTGCAGAAAATAAAACAAAATAGTCCATTATTCTGATGAGCAGTTTACATACTTGTCCTCCACTTTGTTAGCATTCATATGCCATGACACAGTTAAACTTACATCAGTTGGTGGCATGTGTTGATGAAAATAAGAGAGAAGTTAAAGGAATATTAAAGAAAAACAAACCCTGACAAGGCCTCACACACAGGCGCAGTAATTCTCTTGCAAGTTAAGGAAAAATTTGTCATAAGTATTCAGCAATGGTATGCAAACTATTATGGGACATTTTGTTATAGGTTTCTTTGCAAGAATCTTTTAAATAACCTTTTGGACATACTTAAATGTCAAATTTTGTTTGGCACTAACCACCAAACTGTAATAGAAATAACATTTCCCATATAAACAATGCTGCTTTTAATATGAACGTGCTAAAGATTTGAGACAGCCTGGCTGTTACCAGGTCCTGGCAGTTCAGCGCAAGGGTAACGCGCTGCAAGTGATTTCCCTTCCCATCCGTAAAGGCTGGAAGCAACTGTTTTCATTTAGGTAACCTCTGAAACGTCCAGAGGAAAGGAAAGGATAGCAGGGCAAAGGGGTAAAACACAGGGAAAATAACGCTCACTGCAGATGAACGCTAATGTAAACAATGTTTTGAGGATGCAGAACTGCAACCGACTATTTCTCCTCAAATTTCTTGTAGCATTATCAGGATAAACCAGACTAGAGAGAAGACAGCTCCCTGAAGAAGAGCCTTGTGAAGAGGCACTTGGACGCTTGGTGTGTGGGGAGGTGCACCACGGGAGATGCCAAGCGAAGGGGGAAGGTCTCACTGCTGGAAAGGGATAGCAAGAAACAAGAAACATCCATCACATGGGGTGAGGAGCCAGGTATCCTACAGACGGGGAGACAACACAGTTAACAAGTACCTCAGGCCCACATGGCCATAACTATTTCTTAAAATGATGCTCAGATGACACTTTCTTAATACATCTAAGATAAAGCCTGTAAAACACAGAGCAGCCTTGGGAAGGTAGCTCAGTCGTCTGCTGAACATTACATGGGGTCAAGCTCCCGGACGTTCTTCACACACCTCAAGGAAGACTGAAAGCTGCTCCCTCACAGCTGTCATATCTCCTCCGTGCCTGACACAGGCCACACACTCTCTCAGCAGTGGACCCGAGGTATGGACCTGACTTCTGGGAGAGTTAAAGATAAGCCTGAGATTGCGCAAGTCGCTGCAACGCTCCCAAAAACGTCTCCCGGAGCCAGGTGGGATTCACCAGCTCTGCAGTTTGGTTGCTAATAAAGGTGTGAGGAGAGAGGGAAGAAAACCCCATACACTAGACAACTTCATGCCTCAGACCCCCAAACAGGTACTTCAGAGGACATTTATAGTAAATAATAACCTTTTTCCACCTGCATTGCCTATTTCTTTCCAGATGTTTCTTGCCGAATGCATCCCCCCTTCAACATGGGACTGGGGTGGCTTTTCTTGCCCCAGTTCTAGTCCCCGACTTGCATTTTCTCCCTCTGCTCAAGCCCGTTGCGTGCGCTGGGTCTCTTCTTTTCTCACAGCGTGATCTAGCTGTGAGAGACGGGGCCCTCTGTGCTCCAGGACCAGCCTGAACGTGCAAAACTACCACACTGCTCTTCAGTCCTACCCTTACGATTAACATCAGATTCCCCCAGTACTCCATTATCTTCACTTTTACTCACTCTCTCCCGGCTCTTTTATCAGCAATCACACAGAGTTAGCTAGGTCACGCAGGTCTTATATTTCGCCGTGCCAGGTTTGCATCAAAGAACTTTTTTTTTTGTTGATGTAACATTGATGCCATTCAGCTCAGGCATGAAACACTGCCTTTGGTCTAACAAAAACAGCCGTGAGAGTCACCACGTGGCAGCCATATCCAACCAAGCTATCTTGATTTCCAAAGGCACAAAAGTGCTGAAATGTCAGGCACCTGGGCACACCAGCACCAGTCAATATATGGCTATGGAATATCAGACTTCAAGGGCACAGATGAAGCTGAACTCTTTTAAAATTATTTTGCTTCCTTCACTGAAATAATGTACATATCCATAAAATATAAATTAGGTTTATTTAATACGAAAAGTATACCTTTTACACAGTGCAATACAGCAGAACAGTGTGATTGAGAAAATAAAAAGGCAGTTGTGCTAGTGAATTTTAGTAAAAACGTATGCATTCGACAATGCATCTGAAATCTCTTTATTTGTCATGTTAGACAATATATTTTCCCCAATATTATGTAAAGGTACTTTTCAAAATAGATCTAGTGGAGGGTTAAGTACACCACTCTCAGTCCTCAATTAAAAAGAGTTTTAGACAACTAGCTGAACTCTGCACAACAGCTACTTTCCTTAAGACCAAATGCAAATGATTCCGTTACCACCTAGAACAGAATATGCAAGATGAATGCCAGTCCTCGTTGAGAACTACACAGACCTCAAACGCTGCAACCAAAGACACTGCTTTGCTGATTTAACTGAAAGTCCAGTATTTATCTCCTGGAAAGAACGGGGTAGAAAACGAAACAATGAGTGGTTTTACTATGAGCTAAATTAATAACCTCTGAATGAGTTAACGATACCTCCTGCACTAGGATTTTAGTGTTAGTTTTCATAAAGCTGAGAAAATGCAGAACTACAAGATCATAGATGTAAGCCAAGAAAACAGATGTATTTTCATTGTTAAAGCACAAAAAAGCTGTGAATTTTGCCTTTGGTTATTTCTACTTTATGTTAGTTTCCATGCCTGTTTTAGCTTCAGGTTTTCAAATGAACTCAAAACTCCATCAACAGAAACCGGAATTTTGCCCAATTTCAGCATAAACCCAAGCATGACACAGTTCAGGTAATGTAACCACAGGAAGAGTATAAATCATAAGCTACAGCCCGAGAAGAGAAAGTAACTCATGAGTCAAGTTTGGAGTTTACTCACTTGGGTCTATATTTAACCAAAAAGCTCCACCTGTTAGACTGAAGTTCAGGACTATGATAGGACTAGAATCCAGGTAAGCTTTAACCCACTTTTGCTTTAACAACAAGAACTTTCTAGAAATCTTGTAGCTGCTGTGAATAGGTTGGAAATGTATTCCACAACCATTTCGGTTAGAGTCTGATAAATAAACCAGATGAAGTTACAAGTTTGAATTTAATTTGAATGATACCAAACGGTGACTTCAAAATTCCAAACCATCTGACGAATGAGAAGAAAAGCAGCAGCTCTGTAGAAAATAACTTTCACGTCCCATTCTGTTATAGTTTGATTTGTGAGAGCTCAATACTTTTCTACATAAAGGCTTTTAAAAAGCCATTAATAAAAATACAGTTCTGACTTTCCAATTGATGTGCAGTCATCTCCCATGACAAAAGCATTACAAGGGCAGATTTTGAAAGAGCATATTGATTGCTGTCTGGTGCCTACCTGTCTACAGGTGAAGACTTTGAATTCCGTGGTTTCTTCACTTGGGCGTACAAGGCTTCCACTGTCTGCCCTTCCCTCGGGCTCTGTGGTCGGGTGTTCAGTGTTATCGTGCCGCTATTTGAAGAAGAGTCATAGGAAGCAATCCCAGCGTACATTGGGTCCGCATCACAGCCAAATGTCCGGTTAAAATCCTGTATCTCTGCATAGTCACGTTCACGAGCTTGTCTCTCTCGAAATTCTCGAGTTTTCGCTTGAATTCTGAAAAATTAAAAGAAGGCTGAAACTAATTTTTTCCCCCCAAATCATTTGAAAGCAGCAGTTTCAATGACACTTTAGGACACTTTAGGAAGCCCATCTTAATGAAAATCACTGAAGGGTTTCCAGCTTCAGTTTGTCATGGAGCCTCAGGTTTACCTCGGATATTGAAGTCTAGATCAAAGCAATGCTACAATCAACACTTGTCTTTAAGGAAGAAGTCTGATTATCCAGAGTCTTTTGTTTCATTGTCAAGTAAAAAAGGACTAGCTATAGTTGTTGGTAAACAGAGTTTACCTGTTGTCTTATGCATCTTAGGATGCCTGTGCTATTACCTGACCTGTCTGAGAATGGCCTGACACCATTCATATCATATTGTACTCCATCAAAACCTAACAGATTTAATGGTTCCAACATCTGTTTTTAGAGATGAATTTTAATGTACTTTTGGCCCAATACTACAAAAATCATACTTCTTTCGGAATTTAAAAACTTCGTAAGGATAGGACACACACATATATATTTATGTATGCATGCATGCAGTAAACAGCAGAAGTAGATTCTTGTATGAATCGTTTAAAACGTGCATGTTTTGTTTAAAATGTAAACAAACTGAATCTGGCATCTCTCAAAAGTAGGCACTTTCTTCTCAGAAAATAACTACATGTGCCTTATGTTAAGGTTACAAATGAAAGGTGATGCTATACTGGGATTTTGTACCTAGGTGCACTTGTTTAGCTGTATGATAAAAAGTGACAGATACAAACAGATGACATTTAGGAATCTGACAAACACAAATTGAGCACAGGTCATATTTTCAAAAGCACACAAAGCTATTACTAAAATTTGATATGGGCTTCAAAGTTTCTTTGGCATTTTAGAAAACCTGATGTATCACACACACTTGTACAGTGAACCAAAAAAACCAACACCCCTCCCCCTCCCCAACATTGTCTCCCCAGACCAATTTGATGCTCTGTCATCATTGCAAAATGAAGCACTCGGCTGTCTCCTCCCTTCCATTAGTAAAATGTGCTCCTTTTTCATCTAATACAGCCATGGCTACACAGTGTGACAGCCTCCATCCATTCAGACTACAGCTCTGCGCACCCCTGTTACGTGTCATTTCCAAAGACAGCTTGTTCACCGACTTTTAACAAGAGCAGCTACTGAAAGTAGGCTACTTTTGAAAGTAAACCTTGTCTCTTTTGAAAATAGAAAATCCTTAAAGTTAGGTAATGTTGACATTTTTGGAAATTTTAAACTTAGCCCCGTTCAAGATTAGCCTGTGCAAAAAGAAAAGGGGATACACAAAGGGTGGGATCCAGGTTGCAGTTAAAGACACCAGAATTCAGGCGCCTGCAGTAGGTGAGGTCATGCCAGGGACTCCAGTCGGCAGACTCCAGAGTTACGCAGCTGCCATGCTGGTCAGTGGGTCCTAGCGTGGAAGGGTCGCTCTATAAACACTTTGGACACCGTTGTTTAGGACTCCTTTGGAAGCTTGGATACTCAGCCTTGATTCGGTGGCTCAAACATAAGCAGCTATGGCCTCCTGCCATCCCCAGGCCATCCTGTGGGATCTCCAGCTGCTGGGCAGGAAGGACTCCTGTAGGTCCTTGTCACATCTGCCAGCCTGTGCTGATATCTCAGAGACTGTGATAACTCAAATGACAGAAGACGACTGTGTTCAAGCATATGAATCCAGCCCTGAGCTGTACGTGAACATCTAAATTTAAGCATCTTCATCTGGCTAAGTCCCCTGCAAATTGTTCTTTCTATGCTAACAAAGATCGCCATAACAAAAGAAGAGAATAGGAGGATGGCACAGATAGGCAGACCTATTTTCCCCCCAAATCCCACAGGTATTGACCAAGGATACTGATTTGGGATACAACTGATTGGCTGAACTCCCTTCCAACAGCCAGTGCCAACTACATTGATAGTTCAGTGATTCATTTACATGCCCCAAGTTATATCTCAGCAAAATTCCTCTTTTTATGTCTACTACTACTGACTTGTGCACCACAACTTTCTCTCATAGTCAGTCACAATGGAAAGAAAAACAATCATACCAAAAAAAAGAAAAAAAAAAAAGCCAATAGAAGAAATCTGAAAAAGTTTAACTTAAACCAACACAAATGTTTAATTTTGCAATTTTGCAAATACAAAATTATTTTCTTTACTGGTTGCTTTTTATTTTAATAGGGAAAAATGGAAATGAAAACTGTAACAGTATCCAGCTGACAGCACGCTCCTCCGCAATTTCAGCAACATCAAACTGGAATTGTTTTTTGTTTAATTTACAGTGACAAAGGACTCAGGTTTAAATCCAAAACCCATTTCAAATTTAAACTGTGTTTCTGCATGCCTATTTTTTAAATAAAAATATATGTTTTACATTGTCCTATACTCCAAAGCTGTAATTCAGAAATGTTACAACCTTAATCACTTGGAAGGTACCTATGCAGAAGGAAAAACAGGCCTGAAAATGACCTGTGGTTGTTGATTTCTCTCTCTGCAGATGTCACTTCCAATTTGTAGTCCTGTATTAATTATCCTGTGGAGGAACGCATTTGTCTATTCATATTTGTCCTCTGAATGGGAGAAGCAAAGGAAATCAGAAATTTCCTAGATATTGGTAGATTTAATTTCAATGGACAATGTACCATCACATACTGGAACACTGGCTGACACCAACTTGAGCAAAAAAACCCCATGTATTTTAGATAACCAAAATGTCAGTGTATGAAACCTGACAGTATAGCAATAACGTGTCATAGTGTAATTTGGTCAGAAGAAAACATTGTTATCTAAAGTGCTTATAAAACAGAATTACCTGGTGATAACTGGTGATATTGGCCTCAGTGTTACACTGACTGCCATGAGAGATGGCAGTGAACTTATCTAACTTTTGACCATGAATGTCACATCACTCTCCACAGGTGCAAATATGAGTGTTCCTCATTTCACGTTAACCAAGTTTTCCCATGTATCTGCTTATCGGCTATTTAATATGTTTGGACGTAGCACCATTTGCAGCAAGAACATTAAGATTTTCCCATGCACGGTTCAATGAGGGATACTTATTCCTCTTCAAGTGGGAGAGAACCGATTGTTGAAGTGTTATGCAAGTAATTATGTTCATATCCACCAGGAAAATTTTTAGAATATTTTCTACAATTGCTAATACAATGTGTTAATACACATACGTAGCATTAGAAATCAGAATCTAAATGCATTATAAATCTTCCTGTTAATTATAACCAAAGTACCCAGTAACCAGTTGCAGTAAGCAACATTTAACAAAGGAAAACCCTGAAGTGAAACTATATGATGTCCGACCATACCGACACCCAAAATGTTCCGATTTTTTAATTAATTTTTTGTGCTTTAAGTTTTGTGCTTTAAGAAAACTTAAATGTGTTAAACTTAAATGATGTGCAAATCCTATCACTTTCACATGACAAAAGTATAGGTATTCTGATTACTTTACACATTTTAAAATATTGTTTAAAATACAGCTTTGGTTTTTGCCTTCTCCAGGACTCTACTTAAACATTATGTCTCCAAACTTAGAGGAAGCAAATGACCAGGGAAAAATACATAGATATTCTTGAAAAGAATAACAGCTATCAGCTGAATATTGCACTTTCCCTTTTGCAATTATGATAGCTTTTAACTCTGAATATATTTCTATATAAGAACCTGAACTTAATGCGACATTATTTTTTATGTTGAGCCCTCTTATTGTGTGCGTGTGTCTATATGCACGACATGGCCTAAATAATTTGTTAGCATATACTGAATTAAGTATACATACGGGAAATGCCAGTGCAGACTATTGTGGGAAAGATTAAAATGATTATGTAAACATACTGTGCAGCACAGATGACAACCTGGAATTTGCTCTGTACTTCAGCCCTAATCAGCAATGAATGCTCCTGGTATTGAAAGCCAGTATCTGGAGAAGTGTTTGACCACAGTGCTTCAGTTTCACAATGTGGATTAAGCTGTCTTCACCGAATTGTATTCCTTCATGACATGGCACAATAAAATGCGTATGTCTGAAATTTCAGATCAGCTAATTTTGAGGATTTATGGCCTTCCTATGGATTTTGTGGGGGTTTAACAATAATAATAATAATGCTTAGCATTCACATAACCCTTTTCATCTTCAAAGAATTTTGCAAAAACTGCTAATCAATTTTGCAGTGTTTAAATGAAACTGAACTTTTAAAAATACCAAGAAGTTTCCAAACCCTTCTTGCTGAAGTGTTAATACTGAAAATGTCAACAACGTACTGTCGTGCTTTTGAGACTCAAATTATAACGTTCAGTAAAGTATAAACTATCCTCATGCATTTGTGTGCCGTTCAATTCAAAAGCTAATGATAACTGCTTCAAATGACAATATTGTTAGCTGCAGAACTTCCTATAATTGTGAGAAGAGCTTTTCACTGCAAGCTAATCCAGTAATGATAGACATACCCATTGTACAGCGATTCCTATGCGTGTGAAACGGTGGTCACAAAAGTAAGGGAAAAGCTTATGCTCTGCTGTCTCCAGCAAACAGGAGCCACCTCGTTCCCTTCTTCAAGGCAACTACCATTTTAGACACCTAAATTTAGGTGTCGATACATGTTTTGGACTCCCAGATGAGCTGGTCAAGATTCAGCCACATCAGGGGGCTGCCCGCAGGGCGTAGAGAGCAGTTCAGCTGAGCAGCAGAAAGGTGGCCGTTGCAAGGTGAAGCCAAACCCTTCTCTAGGCTCTACCAACCGTGCCAAGTACCCCTCCCTGGACCACAAAGGGCATTTAGCCATGTAGCTCAAATGTAGATACCAAATTAATCATATTAGTCTGCGAGCCAAATCCTACCCTGAACCAAACGTTTACAGTGGTTCTGTCTGAACTAAACTTTAACTTTTTCCAGCAACAGAAAATGCAAATCTGTGGTGCTGGCAGAGCTGTTGCGAGTAAAAGTGAATAAGCAAAGTTGGCAA